TATTAGTATTGGCCTTTAGGCACCTCATATTCCCAAAGTGATTCTTGGCTTCTCCTTGTAGGTCTGCATAGAGGAAAGGCAAGTTTTCAATAAGTTCTTTTGTAAGTATGAAATGAGAACAAATATTTAGTTGATCTGAAGCAGTTTCTCAGCTGGACCAGCTTAAGTTAATCTCAATAGAGATCCTTGTCAAAGAGCGGGCTCAGGCCCAGCATCTTGAACTGTATTATTTTAAATACTCCCTTGCCTGACAATCCCCATTTTCTTTCTCCAAAAGAAATGGACCTTTTGTCTTTGAAGTTGCAACCTCAGTGCAATTTTTCCTGCCAGAGGTTCTGTTGAGAGCAAAAGCCAATTCTGACTCCATGTTAGAACTGTTTCTTAGACTTGCTTTTTGTTGCTTTTGTTATGATAATCATATACAATGGACTGCCTCATAGAATCCTGCCCATCTGCCTGACTGGTGAAGTGCCTTCTTCCAGAACCCTGTTACATGTAGATTGCAGGATGAAGGAAATTAACACATCCCCTTCCTGAGCCTTGCCATTCTAGGAGACATTTGCAAGAGTAACGGCCTTTTTACTTTGCTTCCTCATTTCCCCCAATCTCTGATCTATAAAATAACCTGCCATTTATTTATTTGTTTTAGATTCCTTGACCTGTCCTGCAGCCAGCATAGACAGCTTGGACTAGGTAACAATTTTACCCAGGGTACCCTGGTTTGAGTTTTGATGGTTACCAGATTCCCATAGAATTGCATTATCTGTTGCTTTTAACTAACTTAACCCTTAGAAGGCATTCTTTTTTCCAAGTTTCATGAGAGAGGCTTCATTGGAACCACTACTTATTGCCAGTAGCTATTCAGATGTCAAGTAGAATATGGATTAAATGTAAAGCCAACGTTTTTGGCAATTTAAAATGTCATTGGAGGAGTTCGGTGCCAGCAGTTTAACTAAAGTGGGAATAGACCCCTGGGAATTGACAAATGAATGGAAGTTTACTTCCTTCTTCAGGTATTTATTGACTATCTAGGAATTGCTGGACTCTGGGGACAAAATATAAGCAGATATTGCCCTGATGTGGCTTGTCTAAACAGGAAATGTGACATTAATAAAGAAATCATAACAAACACTATCTAATGATAAAGTGTGCATTCTTAAGCAACTATGCAGAAACATGACAACATTTAAGAGGTGACTCTGACCTAGTGTAGGGGCTCAAGAAAAGCCCGAGGCCTTGATGTCGGATTGGGGATGTTAAAGATAAATAGGGTGAAGTAGGCAAGGCAGAAAGAATGAAGAGATGGAGCCAAAGCAGAAACAACACCCAATTGTGGATGTGACTGGTGATGGAAGTAAAGTCTGATGCTGTAAAGAGCAATATTGCATAGGAACCTGGAGTGTTAGGTCCATGAATCAAGGCAAATTGGAAGTGGTCAAACAGGAGATGGCAAGAGTGAACATCGACATTTTAGGAGTCAGTGAACTAAAATGGACTCTGTGTGAATTTAACTCAGATGACCATTATATCTACTACTGTGGGCAAGAATCCCTTAGAAGAAACAGAGTAGCCATCATAGTCAAAAAAAGAGTCCGAAATGAGTACTTGGATGCGATATCAAAAACAACAGAATGATCTCTTCATTTCCGAGGCAAACCATTCAATGTTACAGTAATCCAAGTTTATGTCCCAACCAGTAATGCTGAAGAAACTGAACTTCAACAGTCCTATGAAGACCTACAAGACCTTCTAGAACTTACACCAAAAAGAGATATCCTTTTCATTATAGGGGACTGGAATGCAAAAGTAGGAAGTCAAGAGATACCTGGAGTAACAGGCAAATCTGGCCTTGGAGTACAAAACAAAGCAGGTCAAAGGCTAATAGAGTTTTGCCAAGAGAATGCACTGTTCATAGCAAACACCCTCTTCCAACAACACAAGAGAAGACTCTACACATGAACATCACCAGATAGTCAATACCAAAATCAGATTGAATCCTTTGCAGCCAAAGGTGAAGAAGCTCTATACAGTCAGCAAAAACAAGAGCAGGAGCTGACTGTGGCTCAGATCATGAACTCCTTTTTCCAAATTCAGACTGAAATTGAAGAAAGCAGGGAAAACCACTAAACCATTCAGGTATGGCATAAATCAAATCCCTTACAATTATACAGTGGAAGGGACAAATAGATTCTAGGAATTATATCTGATAGAGTGCCTGAAGAACTATGGACAGAGGTTCATGACATTGTACTGGAGGCAGTGATCGAGACCATTCCCAAGAAGAAGAAATGTAAAACGGCAAAACAGTTGTCTGAGGAAGCCTTACAAATAGTTGAGAAAAGAAGAGAAGCTAAAGGAAAAGGAGAAAAGGAAAGATATACCCATTTGAATGAAGAGTTCCAATGAATAGCAAGGAGAGATAAGAAAGTCTTCCACAGTGATCAGTGCAAACAGAGAAAAACAATAGAATGGGAAAGACTAGAGATCTCTTCAAGAAAATTAGAGATACCAAGGGAACATTTCAGGCAAAGTGAAAGTGAAGTTGCTCAGTTGTGTCTGACTCTTTGCGACCGCGTGGACTCTAGCCTACCAGGCTCCTCTGTCCATGGGATTCTCCAGGCAAGAATACTGGAGTGGGTTGCCATTTCCTTCTCCAGGGGATCTTCCCGACCCAGGGATCGAACCCAGGTCTCCCACATTGCAGGCAGACGCTTTACCCTCTGAGCCACCAGGGAAGCCCAGCGCCACCAGGGAAGCTCAAAGATGGGCTCAATAATGGACAGAAGTGGTATGGGCCTAACAGAAGCAGAAGATGTTAAGAAGAGGTGGCAAGAATACACAGAAGAACTGTACAAAAAAAGATCTTCACGACCCAGATAATCATGATGGTGTGATCACTCACCTAGAGCCAGACATCCTGGAATGTGAAGTCAAGTGGGCCTTAGGAAGCACCACTATGAACAAAGCTAGTGGAGGTGATGGAATTCCAGTTGAGCTATTTCAAATCCCAAAAGATGATGCTGTGAAAGTGCTGCACTCAATATACCAGCAAATTTGGAAAACTCAACAGTGGCCACAGGACTGGAAAAGATCAGTTTTCATTCCAATCCCTAAGAAAGGCTATGCCAAAGAATGCTCAAACTACCGCACAGTTGCACTCATCTCACATGCTAGCAAAGTAATACTCAAATTTCTCCAAACCAGGCTTCTACAGTAAGTGAACCATGAACTTTCAGATGTTCAAGCTGGATTTAGAAAAGGCAGAGGAACCAGAGATCAAGTTGCCAACATCCGTTGGATTATTGAAAATGCAAAAGAGTTCCAGAAAAACATCTATTTCTGCTTTATTGACTATGCCAAAGCCTTTGATTGTGTAGATCACCACAAACTATGGAAAATTCTTCAAGAGATGGAAATACCACACCACCTGACTTGCCTCTGGAGAAATGTGTATGCAGGTCAGAAAGCAACAGTTAGAACTGGACACGGAACAACAGATCGGTTCCAAATCAGGAAAGGAGTACATCAAGGCTGTATACTGTCACCCTCCTTATTTAACTTATATGCAGAGTACATCATGAGAAATGCTGGGCTGGATGAAGCACAAGCTGGAATCAAGATGGGAGGGAGAAATATCAATAACCTCAGATTTGCAGATGACACCACCCTTATGGCAGAAAGTGAAGAAGATCTAAAGAACCTCTTGATGAAAATGAATGAGAGTGAAAAAGTTGGTTGAAACTCAACATTCAGAAAACTAAGATCATGGCATCCAGTCCCATCACTTCATGACAAATAGATGGGAAACAGTGGAAACATTAAGAGACTTTATTTTTTTTGGCCCCCAAATCACTGCAGATGGTGATGCAACCATGAAATTAAAATGCGCTTACTCCTTGGAAGATAAGTTATTACCAACCGAGATAGCATATTAAAAAGCAGAGACATTACTTTGCTAACAAAGTCCATCTAGTCAAGGCTATGGTTTTTCCAGCAGTCATGTATGGATATGAGAGTTGGACTATAAAGAAAGCTGAGTGCTGAAGAATTGATGCTTTTGAACTGTGGTGTTGGAGAAGACTCTTGAAAGTCCTTTGGCTTGCAAGGAGATCCAACCAGTCCATCCTAAAGGAAATCAGTCCTGAATATTCATTGGAAGGACTGATGCTGAAGCTGAAACTCCAGTACTTTGGCCACCTGATGTGAAGAACTGTCTCATTTGAAAAGACCCTGAAACTGGGAAAGACTGAAGGTGTGAGGAGAAGGGGACGACAGAGGATGACATGATTGGATGGCATCACCGACTCAATGGACATGAGTTTGAGTAAACTCTGGGAGTTGGTGATGGACAGGGAGGCCTTGCGTGCTGCAGTCCATGAGGTCGCAAAGAGGCAGAAACGACTAAGCGCCTGAACCGAACTGAGGCAAGGCAGAGTGGGGAAAGACTTGTGAAGCACAGAGCTTTGGGGCGCCCGAAATTCTGTGTGTCCATGGCGCAGAGACGTAGGAGGAATGCGGAACTCAGCGAGTCTGGGGAAGTGGAAATAGGCAGGTTCTTGGATCCAAAGGAACGGACCACAATAGGCAGGCGGGGCGGGGAGAGGCGGTTATACGTTTAAACTACAGTTCCCAGGAAGCATTAGGCAGACGGATGTGAGGTTAGGCGCGAGCCGCGACCTTTGAAGGCAAGAAGGAAGTGCTTGGGCGTCGCAGAACTGGAGAAGCGGAGGAAGGTAGGCGAGGCCGCGGCGCTGGAGAGACGGCGGGCCGGCGGCGGGCCGCAGTGGTGGACGCGGGCCGCGGTGGTGGCCGCCCGCCGGGTGCGGCGGGCCTGCGTGTCGTCATAAGGCGGCGGCCATTTTCGGGGGCGGTGGCGGCCCGGGCGGGCGCCCGGGGAGCGGGCGGGAGGCGGGCGGGCCTGCGACGGCGCCGTGGTCGGGCGGCGTCGGCCACCGGGTAATCGCTTCTCTTCTCGGCCTCTCGTCCGTAGAGGGAGCAGTATGTCTGCAGAAGTCCCCGAGGCAGCCTCCGCGGAGGAGCAGAAGGTGAGTGTGCGCGCGTAGCGGGCCGGGGAGCCGTCGCTGCCAGGAACCCGGCCTGGCGGCGGCCTGGTCCCGCCTGGAGCCGAGGGGCGCGGCCGAAGCCAGCCCGGCGCCGGTGCAGAGCGGGTGTGCAGCCCGCCCTCCCCTGGGCAGGCCCGTCACTCCCTAGTCGGCGGTCCGCAGGAGCTCGGGTAGTTAGCGCCGGCCTGGTGCCGAGTTGAGTGTTCGCGTTTGAAAAGTGCTTTTTAACGCCTCGGTGTCTCGGGGTTTTCCTTAACCACTCATCTTTTCATTAGTGCCTGGAACCTTGTATGTGGAGCGTAAGGTTTCCCATGGGCTGCTGACCTAGGAACCTTTGTTTTTCCCTCGAATAACTAACTCTCCAACTACTTGTATTGTCTGCGCGCTCTTCACTTCAAAGGCGGTATCTCCTGTTTGGGCGGTGACTTAGACCTAGGTTGGAATTTCAGATCCAGTCATCGTTGGCCATGTACCCTTGGTCAGTTGCTGAACTCTTATGGCTTTAGTCTCCTCATCTGTAAAGTAATAGTAAGTCCTTGCTTGATACTGTTATTGTGAGGCTTAAACGCGCTGGGTAACTTGGTGCTTTGGCTCAGCGTGTGCTTAGAAATGTGAGCCAGTGGGATTCGCATATGACTAAAAATTGGGATGTATTTTTTTCTTTTTAACCGATTTAGTTGATCACTTTTTTGTGTGTGGAAACCTGGGGACATTTTGTAAATTCACTTGTAATATCTTGCTGGTGTAAAGAAATGTGCCACGAATCTGTGTGATTCAAATTACGAACATAAAGGCTTTATATTTGTATAGGCTAGCGCTTGCTTCTTCCACCGTAATTATTAAAGAATCAGAGGGCATTATCATAGATGGGATTTGGTCTAATACTTGGATTTTGTAAGGACTTCTGCTTAAGGTTGGCTTCCCTGGTGGCTCAGACGGTAAAGCGTCTGTCTGCAATGCAGGAGACCTGGGTTCGATCCCTGGGTTGTGAAGATACCCTGGAGAAGGAAATGGCAGCCCACTCCAGTATTCCTGCCTGGAAAATGCCATGGACGGCGGAGCCTGGTAGGCTGCTGTCCATGGGGTCGCTAAGAGTCAGACACGACTGAGCGACTTCACTTCACTACTTCTGCTTAAGGTTACAGCCATGCCCCTAATCAGGCTGGAAATTTGATTAGTGTTCTAAACCCATTCCATATGTTCTTTACCATATTAACTTTTCCTGAATTGGATGGTTTTGTTATGATATTACTTGTAAAGTAACTGGAGAAAAAGACAGTGTAAATAATAGGCCAAGTCACTACATTATTGAAAATAGTCCAATGAAAACTTTGTTGGGTATTTTTCACACTTTGATAAAAATTGAACTTGAGAAAATAAAGAGAAGTATATGTATCATATATATATATACACCATATATATATAAAGATTGCAATCATTTATCATGGTGTTCATTATTTCTTTAGGATTTACAAACCCAAATAAAATGGTCAAGCCACATCCCTGCTGTCTTATCTCAAACACTAAATCAACCCGTTTCAACTGCTGATGTATAGTAATGTGCTATGTAATTTTCCTTTATGAGATTTGCTAGTATGTTCTCAAAGCGTGGAGTGCTGATTTTTGCATTGTAAATGTTTTCACTTGGGACAGCCTAATATTATGGCTCTTAACAAGATTATGGTTATCCTGAATGTTTTCTTTTTGTGTCTACATTAAAATTTTAATTCAGGTTCTCAGTTTTAGAGCTGTTGTCATTAACGCCAGTGTGAGTTAGTAATATAATGTCCCTTCTTGAATTAAGGTTTGGCTGTAGATGTTAAGTGCCCGTAGCATGGGTCCAGTCCCTAAACAGGAGGAGAATGTGCAGAGTCACTTCTGTGCTCCTGTGAGCCAAATCACCTGTTTCTTCTCTTTGGAAGAATAGTTAGATGACCTCAAAAAAATTAGATTATTGTCTGTGTACCCAATTGACCTTGCAATTAAAGCCAGAGTAAGTCAGCTAAAATATTTTTATAGTTTTATGGTACGTTAGCCTATTGCCTCTGAAAAATTAAAATGAAGAGATGAGCCTGGCATGGAGTCACTATCTAATCTGAATTATTAATTAAGTGTGGCATGTTTTTTTTTTTGCTGAAACTGAATTTCTAGTATATTGAGAATATGGTAGCAGTTGTTAAAGTGCAGGAGATTTTTGAGTTTGGCAAGTTAACACTCTTCTGGACCATATGATCCTTCAGTTCTCCTTTTGTAAGAGTAGGCTGTGGTCTTAGGTACCTCATTTACATTTTAAATTCAGCTCTATTCTTTTTTCATTATTCTGGGCAAATGGAGTAGTAAATGAAAGCTCTGACAAAGAAGTACCACAGAGGTGCTTAAATGTAAGATGGTGATTCAGATACCCTAGAATATGCTTATATTGTTCTTTAGATTATCAGTGATGTGAAACCGAAACATATTATCAGAGACCTCATGGATCCATCAGTCATCCACTTTGAGTAACAGTAAGCTGAGACAGGCATGCAGTCTGATCCTGGGGGTAAGAACGGGCATGTGGAGATTTAAAACACATAATTCTGTAGTGAGCATCTTAAGCTTGGGCCCCTCCTTTATTTATCTTTTCTCCCATAGCCCCTAGCATAGCACCTGGCATTACTCTGAAAATGTTGGTAAAATGAATTTTTCTCCACACTTTCCGGTTGAACCCATTGTCAAAGCACTACGCCTATGCAAATGGCACTGCTAGTACTGCAGTTAGAAAAAAGAGGCGAGACCATGGTAATATAAAAAACCTTAGCTTAGACCCAGTTAAATCTGAATGAAAGTAGAGGAATATTTTTATATATACATATATGTATGTATGTATGTATATATGCGTGTGTATGTGTGCGCGTGTGTATATATATATGTATGTGTGTGCCCGTGCGTGTGTGTATGTGTGTGTGTATATATGTGTGTGTGTGTGCACACGTGTATGTGTGTGTGTGTATATATATATGTGTGTGTGTGTGCACGCGTGTATGTGTGTGTGTGTGTGTGTGTGTATAGTGGCTTTCAGGGCTTCCCAGGTGGCTCTAGTGGTAGAGAACCCACCTGCAGTGCAGGAGACCTAAGAGACGAGGGTTCGATCCCTGGGTTGGAAAGATCCACAGGATCAGAGCATGGCAACCCACTCCAGTGTTCTTGCCTGAAGAACCCCGTGGACAGAAGAGCCTGGCAGGCTACAGTCCATAGAGTTGCACAGAGTCTGATACAACTGGAATGACTTAGCATGCACACACACAGTGGCTTTTAATTTTTTAAAAGAAGATCTTAATAGAGTCTCTAGAAAACAGTTTCTATTATAATATTCATCAAGTTAAGTTAGTAAGATGTCTTGAAAAAGGCTAACTCGGATACTTTTGACAGTTTACAAACTTTTGACAGTTTACAAAGTATGCTGGCCGATTTCCCTGGCAGTCCAGTGGTTAAGACTGTCCGCTTCCAATGCAGGGGGCATGGGTTTGATCCCTAGTCAGGGAACTAAGATTCTACCTGCCTTGTGGCCAAGAAAAAAAGATTACTGTTAATTTTAAAGAAAACCAGGGAGTTCCCTGAAAGATTAGTGGTTAGCATTCCGAGCTTTCACAGTGGAGGCCCAGGTTCAATCCCTGGTCCAGGACTCATCCTGCATGTTGAGCAGTGTGGCCAAAATAAAAGGCATGCGTGGTGCTTTTCTGAGTGGTGAAAGAGGAAGAGAAATATTGTTTAAATTATTTCATTATGTCATCAGTAAAGAGTGAATATAAATTGCCTTCCCATTTTCCAAGTTTTTAAAAAAACTGGTTAATATTGGCATTTTCTGAAACTGTTTTTGACAGTACCTTCGGTAAGCAAAAGGCTCAAGATGCATTCAGTTAGGAGCACAACCTGCTACTCTGGTTTGTGTACAGCCGTTGATTCTAGCAATCTAGAGGTAAATCTCAGAAAAGTCTTGAAAAGTTTCTTAACTTCTAAAAACCATTTGGAATATATTGTATTTGTTCATTCAGTAGACTTTTATTGGGCATCCATTAAATGCCAGGCATTGGGCAAGCAGCAAGACTTGGTAGAACTACAGAGTTTTTCCATAGAGGTCGATAACAGTATTAGTACCTTCCTGACAGTATACCAAAGGATTTGTTGGCTTTCATTAATCAGTGCATCAGTGAACATACTATTGAGCAGATAGAGAATTTGTTCAAAGTGGTCAGATTTTTATTTGCTGATGTTGCTGTGTAACTTCCCTGCTCAGGGCCAAAGAGTGGTAATAATCATTCAAACTTGCTGTCAGTTCCATGAGAAACTATAAAATAATCCTTAATTATTTGAATATATGTTTGTGTATACATATATTTGTGTGTGTGTTTATACCTTATGCCCCTGCTACTTATAGAAAGGATAGCTAAAGTATTTCAATGGAATAGTTCACAAAAATGTAAGTGCCTCACATTAGTAAATGTTAGGCCTTGTGCGAGTTGTAGAGTGTATGATGAAGATTATTTGGGGGCATGTTACTTGTCAAGAGACTATCACTTAAAATATTGTTCTTTAATTGTTGTTTTTTTGTACATCATAAGCATATATCTATTGCGATATCCTGGATTTCTCTTTCCCTAGTTCATAGGTTAGAGTAGAAGTTTCAAAATTCTAATGATGCTTCTTCCGCCCCTCCCCCCAAAGCTATTATCAGCGTATAGAAATGACTTAGCTAAATGCAGTCACTCATTCTAGCGTCTGTTTCTTTAGAGTAGTAAAATTTCTGTGAAGCACAGAGGCTTCCTGGAGAGTAAAGTTTTGAAACCAGATTTGAATTTTTAAGAATACTTTCTTCTTGGTTAAGCTTGTCATTTCCTCTCTGTTAATTCTTTTTGTTGTATCTGTGTTTCGTATTTCATTCATTTCTTTTTTTTTATTTTCTCCTGTTTTCTTTGGGTTCCGTTCTTTGTCTTAGCTTCTTAAGTTAGACCTAGCTCATTGAGTTTTAGTTTTCTTTAAGTCCTTAAACACTTGTATTTTGCAACTTTGGTATGTGTAGAATCTTTATTATCAGTGAGCTCCAAGTATTTGTTCTATTCCTATGATTCCTTTTTAAACCATGAATTACTTAGTAATGTATTTTAGTTCCCAAATGACAGGGAAATAATTGACCTTTTGAAATAATTGACTTTTAACTTCTGAATTGTAGTTGTAGATTGTGGTCTGGATGGAAATGGTTTTGGCCTAATATTTAGTCCGTTTTTCCATTTGTCCTTAAAAAGAATATGTTGGGTGTAGAATTAAAGTACCTTGACTCCTTTGTCTTTCTTACCTATCTGTATGAGAAAGAGGTGTTGAAATTTCCTATGCTGATAGTCTTGTCATTTGTTCCCTGTTATCTGACTGATTTATATATTTTGATGCTTTTTTGAAATTAGAGGCATGAACATTAGATCCTCTGTATCCCTAATAAGGCTTTTTGGTATTTTTTCTCCTTTCTTGTCCTCCCCTCTTTTTTTTCAATTGATTGATTTTCTTCTTCCATTTTACCCCCACTGTTAGTTTGGAAGTTTTATACTTTAGTTCTGTTAAGTTTATTCCCCCTGAAATTTTATCAAGCATCCTTAACTAAACAGATTGTAAAATTAGTATCATAAATCTTTTTCTAAATGAGACACAAACATAGAATACTTTAAAAACATATATATTTTTACTCTGTCCTTTTTTAGCCTCACATATTAAGATATTAAAATCAGAAAAATGAACCTTTAATTATATTTCAATAAAGCTAGGGAAAATTAGAAAACTGACTCAGTATACTTGCATATATACCAGTTTCTTTGCTAGTTCCTTGTTTATCTCAGAATTTTTGAGGGAGATATTTTCATTCTAGCTGGAATAAAAGCTCAACAATTCCTTTGAAGAATGTCTAGAAATGCAATCACACCAAATTTTGTGTCTTTTGTATTTTTTAATAGGATTGTAAGGATAAATTGCCCCAACTCTTTTCATTTCTGTTACAGCTTTTTTATTTTAAATCACTGTGAAATGAAGTATTCACATCAGACATCTCCAGACTCCAGATATTGATGGGGTTTTATAGGAATCAAAGTCAGGCATCTGGAGTAGGCCATCAGGTCACTTCTCGTTACCCCTGTGTACACCCCAGTCACCCACAATCCTGCCAGGACCATCCTGGAGGCAAGGTGACCTTTTTTTTTTTTTGGTAATAGTTCTAGCAAAAGATATACAACAGTTTTATTGCCTTAATTTTACTTGGCAGTTTACCATACATACTTGGTAAAATTGGCAATTTATGTACATGCTTCTATACTTTGCATTATCTCCTGTCTTTTATATTATGCAAATACTTTCTAGGAAATGTTTCAATAAATTGCTCATTTTACTTGATTTTTTATCAGTGTCCTCTGGAGAACAGAAATCACTGAGGGTATATCAAACAGAAAGTGATATGGTTAGGGGATTAGGTTACAAGGTTAGAGTCGCACAAGAGGGAAAATGATATTTCCAGAAGTGAGGAATTTAAAAACCTTTTGACCCTGCGAGAGTGAGCACTATTCAGAACTCAGTGTCCTTGAGCCCCCATCTCATGTAGCGGCTACCATAGCCTCTGATGGTGAGCTTAATGCCCTTCTGCAGAACACACAGGAGCTGCCGCTGTCTGCATATGCGTGGCATCACCAGAAAGAAAATGCCTTTTAATCTGATATAGGTGCCACTGACAGACTCTTAAAGGAATTCCGTCTGGGAAATGTGCTTTCAGGCTTCTGTCGTGATTCAGAAGAGTGTTTAGATAAGGCTAAGTGTGGGCTCAGTGTCCATGGATACAGTCCATTGCCAGATGTATTATTAATTCTCCACAAGCAAGTCTGGACCTATGTCAGAACATTGGTGAACATCCAAGCATTTGAACTTGCTTTTTAATAAGCCCTGAAACTGCCTACATCTGCCAAAGGTTTAAGAATGTTTCTGTATGATCCTTTAAAAGTATTGTAGATATTTTGATAGTATTGACTACATTTTAAAAATGTAGCTTTGGTCACATCTTGTACCTTCTTGGTGGTAAATGTAGCTGAAATTCTGAATCCAGCCACAAAGTTGCAGCTAGCAGGCACTTGCCATTGTGCTGTGTGTTGGGAAAGAAAGTTCAAGAATTGCTTTGTTTTTCTAGGACACATTACAGATTTATTGTAAATCTAAATATTTTGAACTGAAGGTGCTATATTGCCCAAAGTATTTTTCAGTAGTAAACTGTTTCAACTTAGTTGAGCTGTTTTATTTAATTGGATATTATATGTAAGTATATGCATAAATGTATTCTTATTAAAATAAGGGAATGCCAGATAAAATGGCATATTGTGTACAGCTTTTATCCTGTGTGTATAAAATCGAGAAACCTGAATAAACACTGGAAACTAGGGAAAGTTAAAGAGTATTTCTTAGATACAGAGAACTGATAAAGAAGTGGAGAGCTCTGATTTCCCAGGCCCAAGAAAGCTGGATGGTTTTAGTGGAAATGTAGGATTCTGTTAACATCCTTTAATTTGAAGGTGCTCGGACTGAAAGGCTGTAATCAGGTTGGAGTCCTTTTCAGCCAGTATCCAAATTTAGCTTCAACCTATCTAAAAAGCCATTGTACAGTGGAACCCTAGAGTAGGTCCCTCCCAAGTCCACTTCTGAATTAACCACTGTGACTACCTTGGGGCCGTAATAGCGAAGTGAAGCCTCTGTGGTGACCACTCTGTTATACTTAATTAATGTCTCCAGCTTATCTGATGATAAGGCAAAAATCCATGTAACTAAAATCACCCTTAAAAAATAGTGGTAAAGTCAATGATCACATTGAAGACAGCCCCACATCAATTTTCAGGTCAAGTGATAGTCACTTTTTTGTCTAGTGTTTGAACAGATGGCTGAGCTGGTTCTTCAGCTGATTGCCAGCTGAGGTAGTTGACTCCTTTTGTATGGGCTGAGTTTTGAAACACTGGAATGATAAACAGTATGTTGATATGCTTATACTCTGGGATTGAGGCTCTCATGGGAATAGCCGGTTTATATCACACATCGCACACTTGAGCTACCCTTTTTGAATAGAATGACTGGCAGAATCACTGATACTATTTTGAGTCTATGGCTGGGCACACATACATCAAGTGAATGAATGATGTGACCTCTGTAAAAAGAATGAAAATCAAAACACGTAGATGCATGAAATGGTAGCTTTAAGAGAATAGAACACTTGAAACAGAAGGAAGCATACACATAAAAGAAGCCCCAGAGAAAGGATATATTTGACAGCAGCAGCTGTATTCTCAAAATCCTCCCAAGACTAAATATGAGAAGAGGTAACAATGCATGAGGAAGTTGTTGCAGGTGAAAAAAATATTGACAATCTATAAAGTTGATTATAAAACATATGAATATACTTTTAAGGAAGGTATATGCAAAAATTACATGAAGTTTCTTCGGTTCCTAGATTAATATGATTACTTGCTGCTTTATAAGGTCAGTAGGCTTAGCATATTTATGGATAGCATTTCTGCTTTTTGACTTCATAAATAGCCTGGAAGAATCAAGATGTACAGAGGTGTGTAATTTTGCTGAGCTGGTGTGCAGAAATGAGTCCATTATCTAGAAAGTGTGCCTTGTCGTTGCCCAGCCTCCACTATCTAGGCAGCGCTATTTTTGTTCATTCTTTCTCCTGCACTGCTTGCCATGAAGTGGTAAACACTGCTTTCCTGTAAAATACCATTTCAGGGGATTGCATCAGCAGTCCAGTGGTTAAGACGTCATGCTTCCACTACAGGGGTCGAGGGTTCTATCCCTGGTGGGGAACTAAGATCCCACATGCTGTGTGGCATGGCCAAAAACAAAAAACAGATGTATCATTCTTGCGAAGAAAGAAGGCTATACCTGGACTAATGTTAAAAGTGAATAGTCTTTAAAATATTGATAGTCCTTGATCAGAAAACATATTTTCAGTACTTTAAAGAATAGGATCTTTGGCATGAACAGTGTTTGCCATTAAATATGGGGAGAGATTAGGTAATAGAATCTAAAGATTGACGGATGGTGTTTCTCTCCTTTAAAAATAACAGGCTCTTATGCATTGAGTTATTCAAGGAAAATGTATCAGGTAAGTAAACTGTTGTTAATTTCTATTAAAGACTCAGAGCTTCCAATTAAACATGATTTTGAATAAGCAGGAGGTTAAAAAGATTTTTTTTATTTTAACAGTATTAAGGTAGTTCTCTAAATATGGGCAGAGAGCTGCTGCATTCCATAGAAGGTGAATAACTATAAATGTATTATACATGACCGGAAAGTAATGGCAAGCAAGACTTCAGAGCTGAGCTATCTTGGTATTTTTATCCAGTGTGTGGGGTGCATCACAGCTATAATAGAACTATCACATGGATCATTTGAAAAACAAGGCAGATTTTTAAAGCCTCTGTGCTTGGTTTCTTAGTCAGATACTGCATTATTTGGCATTTGACAACAAAAGTCAGAATTCAGATATTTAAAAGGTGGAATTATCTAAAATAACTGAATTGTAATACAGAAGTAATTTATTTAAAATTTATTTCAGGAAATGGAAGATAAAGTGACTAGTCCAGAGAAAGCTGAAGAAGCAAAATTAAAAGCAAGGTATCCTCATCTGGGACAAAAGCCTGGAGGTTCCGATTTTTTAAGGAAACGATTGCAGAAAGGGGTAAGTTCTCATACGTAAATCTTGAACTGTTTATGCCCTGTGAACTGTGTGCTGAAAGAGGCTGTGAAATGGGTGTCTGTATTTATACCTCTGTACCTTACTACCAGACGTGTGTGTGCACTTTACATGTTGGCTCTAGTTATATGTGGATTATTTTCTCAAATCAAATTGCAAGAGAATATTTTTTCTGGCTTTATTGAGTTATAATTGACACGTAACATTAGGTAAGTTAAAGGTGTAGTCTGATAATTTGATACATGTACATACCATGAAATACGTAACATAGTGAGGTTAACTAACACATCTTTCACCTCACATAATTAGCATTTTCTTCTTGTTACGGTGAGAACATTAAAGGTCTACTCTCAAGTATATAATCCAGTATTGTTAACTGGAGTTACCATGTTGTCCATTTTTTAGATCCCTGGAACTTACTCATCTTATAATTAAAAGTTTGTACTCATTAACAGTTATTTCCCCATTTCCCCTACCATTCATCCCCTGGCAACCACTGTTCTACTCTGTTTTCTGTGAGTTTGATGATTTTAGTTCTACATATAAGTGATACCACCTACTAATTGTCTTTCTACGAAAAGAAAATTTTAAAAGTGGCAAAATAGAGAGTGGCATTTTTATATAGCATGAAAGAATGCCATTCACAGTTTTGAAAAATAATATGACAAGGAAGAATTAAGCAATTTAAAAATAAAATCCTTGTTCTGTGAAAAGTCATTGATGGGAAAATCATTACAAAAATGATAGTATTTGTAACACATAAAATGGCTTTTCAAATATACAAGAAAAACATTAAGGTGCCCTAGATAAAGGATTTTAACAGAGGAAGTATTGTTATTAAAACACAGAAAAAATATTTATACAGGATAAAAATCAATGAAATGTAAATCAGAACAATTATTTCTTTGTATTAGTAGCTTTGTAATTAAAAGCAACATCACTGTTCAACAGCAGAGATATATAAGTAAATTATGATAAATCAACAAAATAGGACATTATGTGGCCTTTTAAAAAACATAATTATAAAGACCATAATATAGGGGATAAATAGAAAAAAGCAGAGTGGGAGACATGTTCTACATTCTGTGTAAAATGTATTTGTGCCAAGTCTCATTTTGAAATGAAACCACCAGATGTGGTTTTAATATGAATTATATAATAATCTTTGATTGTTAAATTACTATTTGAATTTGGGGTTTAACTGATTATTGATGTTTAGGAAGCTTTATTTTCCTTTGCTGATCTTCAGCACAGCTTACACCAGCAGGCTTTCTTCCAACATTCAGGTTGTTGTCTTTGTCATTTTTCTTTAGCTTCAGCTATTTATGACTTTTAAGTATTTTCAAGTTAGAATTTATATACATTGTATCTTGGAGTTGGTGTTATAGATTTAAATAGTTGTCAGTAAGAAAATGCCACTTAAATCAAGAAATAATTATGTAAAATTTGAGAAGGGAGCTCTTGAAAAATTTTGTATTTTACCAAAATGTCAGTGAATAAGCACTTTTAGTGAAGTCAAATCTTATATTCAACTATATCATTTCTTACTATGTTGTAAGATTTTTATTTTTCAAAAAATATCTGGTCAGATGGTTTCAGTTTTCTTCTGTTGTAATAGCAAACTTGTAGATTGTCTTAGTATCTTTAACCAGTTTCTTACTCATTTGAGAAGGTCAGTTGCATATCATTTATATTAAGTTTCTTTCTGTTTTATGTACCCAGTGTTACTCAGATACCTATTTTTAGGCTTTAAACAATATGAGATGTGAGGGATATCAAGCAGCAGTCTGTCCCATGTTTTTTATGTTTGTGGAGTTTGTGAGGTTCCCAAAAAACTGAGGATCCTATTTTAAGAAACATGACTTTAAAATTAAATAGTGTCACGTAGGTGATATATAAACCATATAAATATGGTTTCAAGTTTGGCCCTTAAATTGGGAGTGGGAGAAGGCTCCTTAAAAGATGATACAGAATATGTTGATTTTTTTTTTCCCACTTAAAAGCAAAATTTAAAAATTTAAAGACATGTGATGTTGCCATCTTGAACTGTTTCTTTTCCCATATGAGGAATTTTGATTGATTTTAGTTTTTCTCTAGCCATACTACATAAATTTAATTCCTTTATCTCAAGCAAAGTAGCCTAATTAGTTAAGTGAGAGCCCCTTATGATGAATCTTTGGTTACTATAGAATAGCTATTATGAGAAACTGACTTTACTACATTGGAGGAAATCTGCCTAAAATTTGCACTGTGTGTTAAATTTCTCATTTTGTGCTTTTGACTCTTAAAAAATTTGGCAGGCTGCTTTCTCTTAGAGGCTACTAAACTTAAGAAGTAGCTCACTAATGTAATAAATAGTACATCAGAAATTCTGGGGTTCTTTTTTTTTTTCACTGCATTCATTTTATTATATTTTTAATTTTTATTGGAGTGTTGTTGATTTATAATGCTGTGTTAGTTTCATGAGTACAGCAGAGTGGATTACACACATGCCTATATCCACTCGTCTTTTTTTTAGTTTTTTCCCGTTTAGGCCATTACAGAGTATTGAGTAGAGTTCCCTGCGCTGTACAGGAGCTTCTTATTCGTTAGTTGTCTATTCTGTAGTAATGTGTATGCTACTGTCAGTCCCAGTCTCACAATTTATCCCTCCCCCCACACTACGCTCATTTTAAAACATGCAGAAATGAAGCTGCAGCAGATCTTCCTGGTCCCAGTTTCCTACTCTTCGTCTCTTGGCCTAACGTTAGGTGCTTATAAAAGAATAGTCCCTGGAGGAAGGCAGCTGATGAGACCTTTTTTTAGGCCACTGAACAACCTTAAACTAAGCTGTGATTTCCTATTTCCTCCATTTACCACTTGAGTTATCTCTGAAATCTCAAAAAGAGTGTTTATATTTTCCCCCCTCCCCCCTTTGTCCAGGTCCTCATCTCATATCTGGATTATTCTTCTTGCCTATGCTGTGGGCTCTGAGTAGCCACAGCATCTTGTGTATTTGATACAGTATAATAGTGGATTTAGGTGGCTGTTGTCCATTTTTGTATCTTTCCGTGATTCACAGTGCCTTGTGTAGTATAGCAGGCGTTCAGGAAAGGCCGGCTAAACATGTTAGGTGAAAAGTCGGAACCTGACAAATTCACCTGTTTTTACTTTGGAACAGACCAGTTTATGTAGATTATCTATATTAAGGTTGATCTTTAGCTCCAGTGTTTCTGTTTCAGTGATAAAACGGTATGGAGTTTACCTATTCATCTCTCCAACTAAAAAGAGTGATTGTTGTACTTAGTGGCTTAGGTGAAAAATGGTGGTATCGAATAGGGTTGTGTATTTTAAGTGATAATTTCTTTTGAGTTTATTTCTTCTATTACCCTAGCATTTATATTTGAACCTTAAATTTTATTTTAGTGAGCTGCTTTAATTCAAATAAATGGGTTAAATCCTCACAGAAAAGTTCATCTTAATTGACAGAGTACCAGCATCTATGAATAGTTTTCATAATTGTGAGCTTGATTGAAGGTGGGTGGCACATCCCAAATACAAGTTGGTGAGTTGTATGTGTGTGTTTTTACCCAAAATCATTTAAATAAGATTTTCACATAGGTGTTTACATTAGTAAATGAAAGGCTTGCCTCCCACTCTTAAGTCCAGGGCTCTTCGCTCCCAGATAGATTGAATTGGAAGTTGATGTTAATCTTGAGGGTTCCATACTGGAACTAGAATGATGTAAGTAAGCCTGAAGAAGGTGTTCTTGCCTGACTTCTCACTTATTGACTTGTGATAGAATTCACTGTAGAGACATAGCTATTTCGTGTAATTGATGTTTGCTTTTTTCTAAACTTCAGGCTTATTTTATATTGACAGTATAGAGTCATGTTTATATCTTAAATGAGCGTAATTGCATAAAAACTCTAGTCTGAATTCTTCTTTTTTTCCCTTGTAGCAAAAATATTTTGATTCTGGGGATTACAACATGGCTAAAGCAAAAATGAAGAACAAGCAACTTCCTACTGCAACCCCGGATAAGACAGAGGTCACTGGTGACCACATTCCCACTCCACAGGACCTTCCTCAACGGAAACCATCTCTTGTTGCTAGCAAACTGGCTGGCTGATTAAAAAGAGCTGAACTGCATGGATCTTCTAATTCCCATTATTTCTCCTTAATATGTTACTCCTCTGCTTTTTATTTCCTTTTACTCCCTATGTCATTTGAGAGTGATGGCTTTGCAGATAGCGGTAGTGTGTGCTGCTATTGTAAGGGAATATACATGTGTAGAGTTTTTGATTAGTTTAACAGTGCACTGATGAAAAGTACATGTTAGAGCAACATAAAGTAATCTACTTGAAAATAATTGTATATATTACCTAACTCCTAGTGTAGGGCTGGATCCAACAAGTAACAAACAAGTTTTGCAGTTTTAATGTTGGCTTTCTTTAATTCATCTTAATTATAGCTTTGTATGTTACTCTTATTTAATATAACCTCTACTGTTGATTTCTTCTGGATTTTCCTTTTTGGTTCTGTAAAACAGAAGTTTAAGACCACAAGTTAGAAGAAAGGTCACATATTTCAAACACAAATAAATGGGGCTCCAAAAGATTTCTATCCTGTGCTTGAACTTGAATGGCCTTAAATCTGTTTCAGCTTTAACAATAGAATTTTACTCGGGCAATATTTGCCCATTCCGGTGTAACTTACGTGACTCTATTGCTTAACAGCTGCTGTTCAAGCTAGTATTCTTATTCAGTTCTATAGTGTTCAGAATACCTTCTGTCATTGAAGATGTGAAGGAAGTGTGCATGTGCATCGACTGTTGAATTCACTTTTGTGCCATTTTTGTAAATACAATAGTTTTGCACAACCTCTCACAACTGTCTGTATTACTTTCACATATTAAAGAGTAGATAATGTGCCAACCAGAAGCACAAGAGTTCCTACAAAAAACTCTGTATGTCATTAGAGCTTTTGTATAGTAAGAGTAGTTTATAGTCTTGGGGTTATAGAATACCAAACTGAAATCTTTGTTCAGACTGCCATAGACTTAAGCTTTTTCATTTGTTAGTAGTACCCATGACATTCAGTGGCCTTGTGCAAATACGATATGTTGCTTAGGCATATCTTTTGTCCTATGCAGAACGTTTCATTTTGACTTTTATGAAAATTACTATTCATATAATTTATATAAACTTTTTTAATGTAGAAACTTTTTACTTCCACAGTCAATTTGGGGGACACTAGAATAAATACTTTGCCTCTTGTGGCCCCTCAGTTCTGTTTTTTTCTTTTTTTTTTTTTTGCTTCTTTGACTCAAATTGTGTTGGGCTGTGCGATTCAGCCTATTCAGAAGCATAAGTGTCTGTATCTTCACTCTTGAAATTTGCTTTGCTGAATGCTGTATTTTCTAACCCAATAATGACATTTTCCTTATAATTTCTCAGTTGTTAATTAACCACTCTTAATCCTGTGTTATTACTAACTGACAATTGTTTAAATAAAAGGAAATTTATAATAAAACAAGTATTTGAGAAGATTGGCCCAGGAATCTAGTCAGGATGAGCTGAATTTTAAGTAATAATAATGAGCTAAGTGAATTAGAATTGTGACAATTAGAGCAATTTACAGGATAGGTGGAACAGATAGTACATATTTAGATATTTTGCTTCTATAGATGTCATTTTAATAAAATGTAAATTTAATTGTATGTGTGGTTTGTCTAGTTAGTAAGAACTTTAATTAACAGACTGCTGGGACAAATCTACTGGTCTTTTAAGAGCTCTTCCCATAAGTTGTGATGCTGTAGCATGATGCAGAGGATCTGTAGCCTGAGATGATAGTGCTTTTTTCTTCTTTGACTTGTGCGGGGCCTCCACCTCTTTTAAATCCAGGCATCTTTTCTGGATCTTGGCTTCATTAGATACTTGCTTTCCTTTGACCCCAAATCACCATAGATGGTGCGTTGAGCATAGCGCCTGCACTTAAAGGCTGCCTGGCACTCTGAGGAAAGCTTGCTGATTATCTTCCTGCTCCAACCACCCCAAAAGAAGAGAACAACAAAATCAATAATGTGCTAATTTGTTACTATAAGGGTTGGTGGTTTTAGTTTTAGTTGCTAAGTTGTGTCCAACTTTTGCAACCCTATTGACTATAGCCTGTCAGGCTCCTCTGTCCATAGGGTTTTCCAGGCAAGAGTACTGGAGTGGGTTGCCATTTCCTTCTTCAATTATAAGGATTAGTTATACATAAATAGATTTGTAATGAGAGTAAGTAAGTTATTCAAAAGCATGTATAATCACTATAGGATTGATTTAAGAATTACAAAATACCCAAAGTAGAATTTTTGTAGTATCTAATGGGGTTTGGGTTTTGTTTTTAATGGCTATTTGCAAGCTGTCACTGTTAAATTCACACACATCAGATTAATCTGAAAAACCATGTTATTCTTGGTTATGGTAGGACTCCTGCTATGGTTTGCAATAAGTGATGTAATCTCTGCCTGAGTTTTAGTTTGTAAAATAAATACTAATATTAACCTACCTCAAAATTTGTTGAGGATCTGTGAAATACTGAGTAAGTGCCCAAAATAAAATATTGTTGTCTTTTTATTAAAAGTAAATTTCCTCATTAAACCAGCCTGCCTTCTGTAAAGTCACAATGATTGAAATCTCAGGATTTTCCATCAGAAGAGACCGGTCATGTAGGACTTGTAGGTTTAAGTAATTGCTTAGTCTCCATTATTGGTGCTTGGGATAGAGGTTATACATTTTTGTATTTCTGTTCTGCTTCTTAGCTCAGTTTATTGAAGGTATAGTTGCATGCTGTTTCACCATTGCTTGAGTGAAGATTTTTGACTAAGATGGGCTTCATCAAACATTTCTATGGTTTCAGAATTGTGGTGTGAGAAATGGCCAATTTAAATAATTGTCCTTATTGTAAATGTATGTTGGCATAAACAAGTTGGAGATAAATACTTCATAAAAACCAGCTAAAATAAATTACCTGTTTCATGTCCAGTAGCTCCTATTTGATAGTACAGTTCTTAGAAGCATTTCATTTTTAAAGACTATATCTGAGTAAAACAATTGTAGTTATTGGCATGTTGGGATAGTAAGAATTGTTGGATTGTTTTGATGAACTGGAGGGAGCATGTTTTCAGTCTCTTTACAAGTTACTCAATATTCTTAGGCTGCTCACCTGAAAAAAAAAAAAATGCTTTTAACTGTTCATCAAGGCCTGTATTTGTTCTTACTTCACTTGGAATTTGTTCCTTGTTTTATTTGATGTAACAGAACTATACCTCTAAATGTTTATTGATACTTTTTACTAAATCAGACAGGTATTCTTTCTCAGTCCAAATTAGTGAAGTCTCATCAACACTGAAATGTGAGCTCTACTTGAACTGTGCCCCAAACTCTCTCTTTGGTGAGTCTGGGGCAGGTATCCTGTAGGAAGGGCATTTCTGAGTGGCAACAAACTTTCTCTGGTGGCCTTTTCACATTTCCCCAACATTCAGACACATTTCTTCCATTTTTCATTTTCCTTTTCCACCTCATTTTCCGTCAGCTCTCCCCCATTCCCATCCCTGCCTATTTCTTAAGCCCTGTGATGGCATTCAGTAAATGATATTTAGGTTTGATGAATTATCAGTCCTTTGATATCCTCCCCAATATATCGCAACTATAGACCCATTTTAAATTTTCTAAAACACTATCCTCATCTGGAAGTGACAGCTTTGAGCCACTGTCCTAATTCTGCAATTCAGCATGCACTGCCAGCCTTCCCCCATGTCCCTTCTCCCCCACCGTATCCCTTCTCCCCCTGACACACCACACCACACCTTGTAAAATTGGGATCAAAGAAGTTTCATTCTGGAATTGATAATCTAAGGATAAAAATGCTGATTTTAATAACTTTCACTAGTTCCTGCCTTTTAAAGTAGGTAGGCCTATGGGTTTTATTCTGGAAATCACTGGTGGGTCACACCATTAATTATGCTTGTATTATGTTATTTATCAACTAAACAGCATTTGAAAGAAAAATCCAATTCCTTTAATATGCCTTCAGATCTGTTACAGCATCTCGTATTTGTGATGCAATAGAACACTTGCCTGTATTGAAAGGGCCAAAAGTAAATGCCTTTTTTGTTGAACATGTCTATAGAGTTGGCAGTTAATGCTGAAATTTGTCAAGTAGCCCTTCCAAAATTAAACTTGTAAAATACACAAAAAATAAATGTCTACCTAGTATCTATTGATTTTATTTGCTGTTTTTGTCTCATTTAAGTGTTGCATTGTTTTTTGTTATATTTTCTGAAGTTGATCCCTTTAGATTTCAGCTACTGTAATATACAGAAAGAATTTGACTATTATAGTCTTAAATTTTGTTTTGGTTTAAATAACATTTGTTTATGAGTTCCTGGCAGTCTAATTTATATTGGTAGAGACTTTGTAATTAAGGTTAACATGAAATATTTGCAGATTGAGTCTTTTCTACCTCATATATAAAACACTCGAGTACAGTACTGTCAGGAAGGTTTAGGAGACAACCCGAGAAATTGTATGTACATACACTTGACCGCCAACTCTGGGAGTGGTTGAAAATTGTGTGTAACTTTACACTCTGCCCCCCTTATCCGTGTTATACATCCACGGATTCAGACAACCTCACGTGTGTAGTATTGTAGTACATATTTAGTGAAAAATTCCACCTAGAACTGGTCCTGTGCAACTCAAACCCATGTTGTTTAAGAGTCAGCTGTTTTTTTTTATATGTGTGTGTGTGAGTCGCTCAGTCGTGTCCGACTCTGCGACCTTATGGACTGGAGCCCACCAGGCTCTTGTCCATGGGATTCTCCTGGCAAGGATACTGGAGTGGGTTACCATTTCCTTCTCCAAAATTTAATACAAGGTAAAAGTATTAACATTCCTTAAGAGAAGTAGAAATAACATTCCAGGAAGTCTAGAGGAATACATTATTCATTCTAGGGGATAAATGGGATGGGTGGTAATCGGAATTTTAGAGGCAGTTTTGAGAGAGAGGTTGCTGTAGTCATTGGAGGAAAAGGGCAGAAGAAGAGCATTTTAAGTAAAGGAGCTGCTATTCTCGAGTAGGTAAGGAGCTAGGAAAATGTGGCTCTGTATAAGGAAGTTTGGTTGCAGATCATGGCGTGTGAAGGTAACTTGATTTTTCTCTGTAGCATTATCCTTCCTTCCAGCCTTCAACTCAGTAAATGACACCTCTGTGCACTTGCCCACTGGAGTACTCAAACCAACTTTGGAAGTTACCCTTCATTCCTCAGAGGCTGTTAGCAACATCCACCAAAATACACATTGAATTTGTTGATTCCTCTTCACTGCTGGCACCACGCCCCAAGCCAGGATTTCTTATCTGGACAACTGCTATAGTTCCTAATGTGTCACTTTCCACTCCTGCTCCCTTGTGCGTGCTGCATCCCACCCGTCCCCCCTGCCCCATCTCACTTTCATTCTTAAATCATATATCCAAGATCTTGCCTGTGTTGAAT